AAGTATTTTTCCCTTAAATCTGGAAAAGTCTCAGATATTTACTGTGATAACACTTGTTAGCCATGATATGATCCCATCTTTTCAGGTTCTTCAAAATCTGTTTTTCTCATTACTAAACTGATATGTAGTTAGTTGAATATTATAGTGATTATTATTATTTTTGAAATTGTCAGACTTATGTACTTTGATCAAATTACAGGTTTTTGACTCTACTGCTAATAAAGATAAGCTGCTTCGTCTGAAATTAGGATCAGGAAAAGTCATCAAGGTAAAATGTGTCTTTAGAGTTCAGATTAAATTTTGTGGCATCTCTAACTTGAATATATCTTATGAGAATCTGGAAATGCTTTGTTGAAAGGGAGCAGAGCAGAAATAGGTTATATTATCATGCGGGAGATTTTAAGCTTAGGAAACTATATTGAAGATAGATACATTTGTGTTCTGTAATCTCTATCTGTTTTTATCCTGTGACTCTTAAGGAAATTGTTATATCCTTTCTATAGCCTATCAGGAAAAGAGGTAAAACTGTTTCTTTTGGAATTGTGTGTCACTTGAGTTCATTTTGTGAATTTTGTTTGTACTAACTGTGCCAGTGTTTTATAAAATATAGTACTTTATGTATGTAGAATTTCATCATGTCAGGACATCATTGGTGCATTTTGGCATATTCAATCTGTGTACCTAAAAACTTTTCTCCATTGCTTTATGACTGTTTTTCCTGGAATTCTTTGGACATGTTTTTTCCTTGTAGATCATAGCAGTTAAGGCATGGTTCTTAAAGTTAGACAGCTCTAGCATTGAATCTTGATTTAATGATTTGCTAAATGCCTGATCTTGGGCTAGTTAATTTTACACTTTTTTTTTTTTGGTACTGGGGATCGAACTCACGTCTGTGTGCTTGCAAGGCAGGCACTTACGCCGCTGAGCTAAATCCCCATCTGGGCTAGTTAATTAACCTCCAGTTTTCTTATTTATAAAACATGTCTCCATACTCAGTTTTCTTATTTATAAAATGGCAATAATTCTGTCAACATTTTGAGATTATTGCGGGGATTAAACAAGACAATGCATATGAAACAGTTAACCATAGTATCTAGAAAAACATGCTTAATAAATAGTAGCCTTTTTTATGCATATAAAATACTTTTTAGGCATATGAAATACTTAACCATAGTATCTGGAAAACCATACTTAATAAATGGTAGCCTTTATTTTTTTCTTATTGCTATTTAATTCCTCTCATTTTCTCTCATCATCTAAGATAAGTACACTTTACCCAACCCCAGATATGCCAGCTTTTACCAGTAGATTTTAAAGCTATATTTTAGGTTATTTATTTACTTATTTTCAGGGTCTCCTTACGTAGTTTTAGGCTAGTCCTGAACTTACCCTACAGCCCAGGCTGACCTAGAACTTGTGGCAATCCTTCTGCCTTAACCTCCCAAGTGCTGGCATTTCAGGTTTAGTCCTATAATCAATGTGGGTAATAGTTGTACTTGACCTGCGGAAGAAATGTCCAAACCTAAAAGTAGATAAGTGAAACCCAGTGTTCTACTCGTCTTATGCTGTGTTTCCTGTCTGATGAGGGTTTTTCCATCTCTGATTCTGAAGGCCTGGGAGGATGGAATGGTGGGCATGAAAAAAGGAGGAAAACGGTTGCTTATCATCCCTCCAGCCTGTGCAGCTGGCTCTGAAGGAGTAGTAGGCTGGACTCAATCAACAGACTCTGTCTTGGTGTTCGAGGTAGAAGTTAAGCGGGTGAGTGAAACTTTTGAGTGTTCTTGAGTTCTCCAGGTATTGCCTTGCTAGTTAATTAAATGAATAACTAAATGAATGTGCTTGAAACAAGTGTGCCTTTCTTTTTTTTTAAAGTAGAAATAGTATAATTGGAAAGAGCCACAGCTTTGGAATCTTAAGACCAAGGTTTATGTCTTTTCTTTTCGCTTTTCAGAGTCTAAAGGTTATAACTTAGGGTAAATTACGTCTCCATGCTAAGCTTCTTTTTAGATTGTCTATAAAACAGTAATTTATAACATATATATATATATCTTTTGAGTTAATGATTCCATTGCTACAAATTTATCCTGTTGTAGCTCAATGATACAGTACTTGCTTAACATATGTTAGGTCTCTGGGTTCAATTCCCAGCACAGCAGAAGTCAATCCTACTGATGCATTTATATAAAAATGGAACGATATGTATCATGTGTATGTGTGTGTATTTTCTTTGTTCTGCTTAATTGTTTGTAATAGTAAGAAACTGGAAATAATATTCTATTAAAAGTATAACAAATTGTTATTAATACCTCCTCTTCCTAGAGTGACTTTGTTTACTTTTTACTATAATTATGTGGTTCAAATGTGATTTTGACTGTAAATGTGTTTGTGACTATAAACTAAAATACAATACAAATAACAATATTATGGCCATTTTTTTCATGTGGCTATTATTAGACTTGCTGCAACAGAGAAAGGATCTCTCTCACTTCCTTCCTCTCTTTTCAATACTGAGCATTGAATCCAGGTCTTTATTTTGAGCCAGATCTCACCAAATTGCCTAGGCTGGCTTCAAACTTGCAAGTATACAGTACTGTACCCAGCAAATTCTTTTTTTTAGAAATAGTTTTTATAATTATTTTCAATTTTCCATTGAATCAGAGGAAGTAATTGCTGATAACAAACCTATATGAATCTATCAAGATTAGCATTTTGTGAACATAAGAAAAAAATGTTCTGAACCAAAGAATTAATTTGACATTATATTAAATTGACAGGGCTGCTAAAGAGTGACAATAGCTAGTGTAGCAAGAGTGTTATGGAAGTTGCACTACTTTTTTTGTTTTTTTTTGGAGACAGGGTCTTACTATGTAGTTTAGGATCACAGCGATCCTCTTGTCTCAGCTTCTCGAGTGCTGGGATTACAGGTATGCACCACCACATCTGGCTTAGCTGACTCTTTCAGGTGGGAATTTTTCATTTTTCATTTTTGAGACAATCTCATTTGATAGTCCGGGAATTGCAAGCCTCGAAATTGCAACCCTTCTACCTTACCAGCTCCTAAGTGCTGCAGGTGTGAGCCACTGCCTCTGGCTTTCTGGTGGGAAATTTAAGACTTACGTTAAAAGTTTTTGAAATCAGCGTATCTTTTTGTTGGTCAGCTTTACCTGACACAACTTAAAGAAGAGTTTTATTTGGCTCAGTTTCTTTTTTCTTTGTTTTAAAACCATTACATATTTAGTATCTTGAGTTCAAATTCAAGTACAAAAATTAACACGATTTTAACACTAAAAGCCATAACACTTATTCATATACACTGAATATTAAGAACACAAGTGAAACATAACTATAAAAACCTTAAGTATATATGTTAACAGCAAACTTAGAATTTATTTCTATAACAAATAATTATTCCTTTGAGATTTTTTTTTTGGTACCAGGAATCAAACTCATGACCTCATGCTTGCCAGGCAGGTGTTATGCTGCTGAGATATATCCCTGGCTGTTTTAACAAATAATTATTAATTAAAGTATGTATAGTTATTTTCAAGGATCAAAATGGTAGATTGTTTCATCTTTAGTATTACATGAAATTTAGTTAGGTGTCTCAATCTTTTTGTGTCATTATTTCTCCCTAACTAATGTATATCTGTTTCAATCTCCAATGCAGATAGTGATCCTGGGTTATCAAATCTAGTATAACTGTTGCTTTCAGTAGCTTAATATTTGCGATTATGTTGCAAAGGTAGTTACACAAAAAATAACAAACTACTAGAATCTGTTGCCCACTCAGGAATTACAAGAAAATTCCAAGTTTAAAAAGAATAGCAGTTTGCTAAACTAATGAATAACTTCAAATAGCGCATTTTTATAAACTCTATAATTCTGTTATTCTGAATTATAGCTGATGTTTAATATGCTGGGATATATTATTTTTACATATTATTTTTATTTTTTACTTTATTATTTTTTCTGGTGCCAGCAATCGAATTGAGGGTTTTGTGTTTGCCAGGCAGGTGCTGTGCTGCTGAGTTACATCCCTGACCCGGGATATATTATTTTTAAAGCTAAATGTGCAAACCTGACTCTAAAATAAAACAATAATTTGCATGCTTTACATAAGTAATTTTCATACTGATATTTTTAGATTTTCTTTACAAGAATGAGGCCTGATTGGAGATACATAGTCATTGTCCAACTTCAGTTGGCTTCAATTAGCAGGAGGTATTATTGGTGACAAGGGGTAGCTTTGATAAGAATAATGCTTTGATATATAAGTAAGCACACTCAGAATCTCAGAAGAGAGGGTAGCACCGACAGGTTAAAGAGTATTAACTGAGCTGCAATGGAAACTGTAGTCTGTAAATAAATACATGGACAATTACACTGCACATCTTTATGGACACAAATTTAATTGAAAGAGACAAAGCATTAAACTAGAATCACATTTTAACATAACGTTCTAACATTTCAAAATCTTGATGATACTGTACTAGTGGTAAAGATCACTTCCATGTTCATCACAATGCAAATCCTCACAGTTTTATCAAGTCAGTTAATGTTTTCCTTCACTGATAGAATGCTTCAGAGATCTTACTAGAATGCATTTTTGGAATTTTTTAATGTAAAGAAAGTTTCTCTTGCTCTACAAAGAAGCTTCTTTTAAATTTGGTTCTAACGCTGAGGAGTAGTAGTTCATGAAGAAAAAAAATAACAGTTCATAGTTACTTTTTAGAAAAATTGTATGCGTTATCAAACCAGCACAAACATTTGTCATAAACTAATTTATTAATTTTATCTAAATGCTAATGTAAACATTTATATGCCTTCACATACCAATTTAATATTTAGAGTCCCACTGGTACCACAAAACATTAAGATGAATCATCTTTATAACATAAAGATTAAGAAATCACTATCAACTTTTAATATAGAAAAATATTCAAAAATTAAACCAAATTATTAAAAACAATTATATTCAAAATATTATTTTTCCAGTTTACGTTCATCATATGTACCAATAATTTCCTGCTTCATTAACTATAATAATTGTGTGTGTGTGTGTGGGTGTGGGTGTATTAAGGACCAAATTGGTAAATCCTGTACTTTCCAAAAACTCAACTGTGTTTAGTGTAAAATAAGTCAAAGGTATGACACTGACTATAAAATGGTTCTTTATAAAAGTTAAAGTGTTTCTAGGAAGGTGGGAATTAGATCATTTATTGTACAGGTGGAGTTATTTTCTCTGCAATATTGTCCTGATACCATAAATTAGGCCTATAACACATAAGCATTATGTTTAGCCAATAAGAATGAGAACAACTGCAGGAGATTAAGTTCAAGCAACATCAGAAAGGACCTGCTTATTGTCTCCAGATTCTTCTACACAGGTCCAGGCTGAAGAGACTGTGTTCCCTGTCCAAATGAAGTAATGTAAACTGGGCTGCCAGTTCCTTTGCATCTTCTAATGTAGTACAGAGTTTGTCTGGCATGAAATAACTCTGGGATCCATTTGCAATAGCAGGAATAACTATTTTGTATACCAGGAGTACTTTCCCATCAGGGCCAGTTGTTGAATATAAATAATATTCTGGTGGTGCCCAGTTGTTTTTGTTGCAGTAATAATCCAGGTGCATTACTGCAGAATTAAAATGATTGGATTTTAAAGAATACATACTAATTGGAGTAAGCTTTGTTCCAGACAAAAAAGGATAAGTGCATCTTTCAATTTCAGGGGAGCCTGGGCTATGCTGACCATTCAGAAGAGCAGGAAAAGTTGTCAACTTGCCTAGAGTTTTGGGGTGGCTCTCCTCTTTGTTAGCGTACACAATCAGGTTTTCAGCACTGGGGCTCATCTGACCACTAAAATGCTGTCGCCAAGTGCTTTCTTTATTCACTGGTTTTGCAAGTGTTACCTCAATACTTGCTCCATCGATGCATTTTCCATTCATAACAGACATAGCAGCTACTGCATCTTCTCGGCTGAAAAAGTGAACAAAAGCATAATCTCTAAGTTTTTTTACTCGTTCAACTGCACTAGGTTTGAATCTACTGAATTCTGCTTTAATTGTTTCTTCTGTAGTTGAGATCATTAAATTTCTTACATAGAGAACTTTAACTCTTTGCATGGTTTCCTCATCAACCTCTTTCTCTGGATCAGCCCAGTCGACCTGAATGGTATGGCCCCATAGCTGGAATGTTCCTGGAATTAATTTTCTTCTAGCCATAGCAGCAGCTCTGTGAGATTCATACTCAACAAAAGCAAAACCACGATTTTTGGTCTTATCAGTTGCACTTGGATAAACAATGACATCTACAACTCCTTCTGTAACCTTCTTCATTTCATCCAAAATTTCTTCTTTCTTCTTTTCCTTGGGAATAGCTCCAATAAATAATCTGCAATTATCCAAGCTTACACACACACCAATAAACTTTCCTTGTCGGATTTCATAATTATTAAGAATTCTGATGGCCAACTGGGCTTCTTCTTTTGTAGTATACATCACAAAAGCATAACCTCTGTTTTCTCCACTAAACTCCATCATAAGCCGAAATTCATATATTTTCCCAGCTCTTTCAAATACAGGAACTAACTCATCTTCATATATATCACGAGGTATTTTTCCTACAAAAACTTCACAGCCTCTAGGTGGAGGTGGACCTTCCCAACCCGGAGGAGGACCACCAAATTTCCTTTGTCCGTTTTCTTGAACCATGTTGTACCCAGTTTTTTCCATTAAAGCAAGCAGTGCTGCTTCATTCTGAGTACCAGTTCGAGCTTTACTACATTCATTTGTCCCATCCATATTTTCATTCATGGCTGCATTTCCCCTTCAGGTCTTAAAAAGGTTGGTCTTAAATCTCTGAGACTAAAAACGGCAAACCGCCGCCATGGTTCTGTGCCAGTAGATGGGGGAGGGGCGTCGCCACAAGGAGGAGGAGCGCGAGCTGGACCTCCTGCCTCTGCTGGGCTCCCAGAGGGCACGCTCAGTGATTTAGCCGTGGCTCACAGTTTGGGAAGATTTAGTTCATGGTTGGATGGCTCGGAGGCAGGAATATCATGGTAGAAGGGCAGAGTAGAGCAGAGCTGTTTGTGGTGGCTGCTGGGAAGCAGAATAGGGAAACAGCACCAGAAGGAAAGAGGCCAAGGAGCAGATATGATACACACCTTAAAAGCCATAGCACCCAGACAAACCTGCAAGTGCATTTTACTAATTGCCCAGGTAGCTTCCTAGCTAATGAAATTGACAATGAAGTTTAACTATCATAATTTTTTTTCAGTACTGGGGGCCAATGCCAGAGTACTTTACCATCGATCTACACATCCAATCTTTCCTGCCTTTCTTGTTTCCTTCCTTCCTATATTTCTTTCTCTTTAAAACAGTCTTGCGGTTTAGTTCAGGCAGGTCTTGAACTCACTTTGTAGCCCAGGCTGGCCTTGAACTCAATCTTTCTGGCTCAGTCTCCAGCATGTGCCACCAATCCCAGCTATTTTTTAAAAAAAATTTATTTATTTTAGTCTTCTGATACAAGGTCTCACTTTGCAGTTCAGGCTGGCCTTGAAATTTTTACATATCCCAGACTGGCTTTGAACTCACAGTGATCCTCTTTCTCAGTCTGCCTAATGCTAAAATTATAGGCGTGGGCCACCATCCTTGGGTCTGGTTTTTGAAACAGGATCTCCCTATATTGCCCAAGCTGAGCTTGAACTTGTGATTCCCCAGTCTCAGCTTCAGCCTCCCAGGCAACTAGGATTAAAGGTGCACTTCTGAAAATTTATACTTTGGAAATATTCAAAATTATGTGCAAAGATATATAGTGAAAAAGCTATTCATAGAAGCATTATTTATTATATAAGTAAAGTTTATAACAGTGAGGAATTGGCAAACTCTTTTGTGATAGCATAGATATTTATGGCTTCTGTTTTAAACATCCTTTGAAGACTTTTCTTCGTAGATCATAGTAACAAAGCACATGATCTTTAAAGGCAGACATACTGTTTTTTTTTCCATTTTCTTTTTTGTCTTTTTCATTTTTATCGGTACCAGGGATCGAACTCACGACTGCCTGCTTGCAAGGCAGGCGCTTATGCCGCTGAGCTAAATCCCCAGCCTCGACGTACTGTTGAATAGTAAAAATAATATTGATAGTATTTAATGACAGAAATATGTTAGTATGTCAGTGAATGCACAAAGCAGGTTACAAAATAGGATGGACCATAATTATAAAAAAATACAGATATGCACACACATATAGATAATATAATGGTAGCTGAATTGCAAGTGACCATTGCCTTTTGTTTTGTGTCTTCTTCTTCGTCTCCTCCTCCTCCTCTTGTTTTTCTTTTTCTTTTTTTTTCTTTAACTTTTTTGATTTGCCTGCAGTTAGCAGGTGATGTTTTGTATACTAAGGAATAAGTAAAATAAGAGGCAGGATGGGAAAGGATGTTGTAGCCTATTTCACCTGTGCTGGCTCTTTCTCCAGGTGAAGTTTGCCAGAGATTCTGGCTCTGATGGGCATAGTGTTAATTCCCAGGACTCTGCAGCCCCTTCTCCCATACCTGGTGCTGACAGCCACTCTGTGGAACCTGTTGTGTCACCACTGACATCGGTGCCTTTCAGATCAGGGTAAGGCCTTGTATCAAGTTCCTGCACTGTTCACAAAAGTGATTCATCAAGGAATGCAGAAGAAAGATTTGCTAAACACTATAATAATTTTAAATAACTAGAAAAAAGTGGGATCAGGGAAATGGGGAAAGTATTTCTGATAAAGTATTAATATTCATTGTATGTTAGAAGCTCTAACTCACATAAGGATACCTAAAAAATTCTGGAAACAAATTGAGCAAAGGGCGAAAATGCCTATTTTTTCATGAGTGTATATAAGAATGAAAGCATTTGGATAAAAAGTTATTCATCTTCACAAGCATTCAAAGATTATACAAATTAAAGAAGACTTAAAATTCTGTTTTATAGCCATAAGTTGGTGAACGTTTTCCAAAACAGTTGTTCATCCAGCATAATCTGGTTTTGTGGTTGTGGATTTTGTTTTTATCTCAAGATATCTCTTACTTTCTTTCAGGGAACCAGCTCTTCGTACCAAATCTAACTCCCTGAGTGAACAGCTTACAATGAACTCAGTGAGTATAAGAATCTGTCTCCCAGGGTCTGGGCGTTTAGCTTAGCGGCATAAGCACCTGCCTTGTAAGCAGGCAGTCATGCCTGTCCTGCCTGGTTGGGAAGGGACAAGTATGCTTTGTGTGGATCAAGTGGTAGCCATGGCACTTCAACTGCCTCATGGCCTTTCATCTGCCATACCAGAAACAGAATAGGATCACTGAATGAAGTTGATGCTTCCTTTTACTGCAACCCTAGTTTACCTGTTTGTATTGAGCCGAAAGTAGAAATTACTAAGCATATAAGTGATCTTAGATATGTGAGACGTGATCTCCTAAACCCAGTTAGATTTTTATCGATACCTTCCCCGGTATCGATAAAAATGAAAAAGACAAAAAAAAAAAAAAAAATCTGTCTCCCCAGATGCGTAAGATATGGCAGGTTAGAGGAAAAAAAAATACAAATTCTCTGTTTAGCTAGAAATCAATGGTTCCTGTAAGCATAAGCCTGGCTTTCATATAGTCAGTCCTTGAGAAATTACCAACTTCTTAAATCTTTAGCTTCTTAATTGTTAGAATGGAAAAAATCTTTTTTAAGAGTAGGAAACTTTGTTGAAGAAAAGGAATAGGGGGCAGGAATGGGGAAAGGGATATTTCCTGTGAGACAGGAGGGGTCCCAAATGGGTTGCAGTAGAACAGAAATAATCTTTTTTTTTTGGTACCAGGAATCGAACTCACGACCATGTACTTGCAAGGCAGGCACTTATGTCGCTGAGCTAAATCCCCAGCCCAGAAATAATCTTTAAAACCCTCTCTTACAGTTCTTTTAAGAATTAGAGATATTTATAAACCTCTGAGTTCAGAGCCTACATAAAATATGTCATTAGAAATGGTAACTATGAAAAAAGAAAAGAAAAGAAAATAATGGTAACTATGATTACATTATTAGGAGAATGGTATTAGATTGAGGGAGAAGCTCTTCCATTAAAGTGAACTTCAATTTTAAAAAATATTGTTCCAAGAAGAATATGTTAGTGGCTGTTCCTCAGTTTTCTCTACTACCTTGAGCAACTTTAACTTCTCTAAGCTCTTTATTTTCCACATCTGTGAAATAGAGATACTTGCCAGTCTCAAAGAGATCTGTATGATTTTTAAATAAAATAATGGTTATGGAGTTTTTAGTATTGTGTCTGGAATATTGTAAAGGTTCAGTAAAGATTAAGTTATTACAGTTACAGCTAATACTATGTGTCTTCTTCAAACTTTTATTTTTGAGAGGAATTTGGGACTGAATTCACCAACTGTCTTTGAGTGGGTCATTGGACTTCTGTATTTGCCTAATTGTGAGATGAAAGAAACAACATATTGTTTTGTTTATTTTTATGGAACAGCATACTGTTTTAATAAAATCTGGATTTGAGTGCTTTTAGGAAGGATGTAAGGGTAGTTTATTGCAGCTCTGCCTGTCCTGCCTGGTTGGGAAGGGACAAGTATGCTGTGTGTGGATCAAGTGGTAGCCATGGCACTTCAACTGCCTCATGGCCTTTCATCTGCCATACCAGAAACAGAATAGGATCACTGAATGAAGTTGATGCTTCCTTTTACTGCAACCCTAGTTTACCTGTTTGTATTGAGCCGAAAGTAGAAATTACTAAGCATATAAGTGATCTTAGATATGTGAGACGTGATCTCCTAAACCCAGTTAGCTCAGTTAAAGAATCAGGAGAAAATTTTAAAATAATCATCTCAGATCTTTGGACAGTCAAAAAAGTTGTCCAATATGCATTCCATTCTACTTTCTAATCCTAGCTACTCTTGCCACCTATTTCTGAGCATCAGTATCTTCTGGTAGGCTAATAGTAGGCTTTCTTTCTTCTCCTCCTCCTTTGTTTAATAATTTTGCTCTTTTGAAGTTTTTATTTTTTGTTTTAAATAGGTAGTATGTTTATAATAATAGTTATCTGTGTACTATAACAAGAAATATATTGCAGCTTCTCATTCTTACACCTGTTCCCCCCATCATGTTACATTTCACATCCATTACCTAACTACATTCAGGAGTTTCTTAATATATTCTTTCAGTGTATCTTTAGACAGGTACAAGCAAATAGGCGTGTTTTTCCCTTATATCCCCACACAAAATAGCATGCTATATATATTATGTACCTTGCTTTTTTTATGTAGCAATGTAAATAGGTGTAATACCTTTTCATCTTAGTGCTTAATATTGTACTTAGTTGCTTAATATTTTTATAATCTTCAGATCTTATTTTTTTGTCTGAATGTGGTTTATATAATTAGTCTTCTGCCCTCTTTTTTTTTTTTTTTTTGTCTCTTTGAGATAGGATTTCACTATGCAGTTCAGGCTAGCCTTGAGCTCACTTTATAGCCCAGGCTGGTCTGGAACTCACAATGATCTTCCTGCCTCAGCCTCTTGAATGTTGGGATTACAGGCATGTGCCACCACACCTGGCTTGCCCTCTCTTGATGTATCCAACTTCTTTTGATTATATCAATCCATCAGTTAAGAAAAAACTGTGCATAGACTGCTGGGTAGATCTCTTGACAAATTATATACTATTAATCCCTATAAACTGTATGACCGGTGCCGCAAAGGAGACTCCCAAGGGCTCCGCTCTCATGCAAGAACAAAGGGGTCTTTATTGGTCCGTGCGCACGGGGTCCTCCAAACAGGTGGAAACGGAGAACCCGGAGTTGGGGCAAGGCTGGTGTTTTTAAGGGGAAAAAAAAGTGCAATGTAAGCATTTTTTTACAGAAGCCAATCACAGCAGTTAGAGCGGTATAGTCAGCAGTTTACCTATTTGTGGTTGGTCAGCTCATAAGGGATGACCAGCAGGTCAGAGTTAATTAACTGTCTTTGTTCTGCACAACTTATCTTTAGGACACCTGGTTTCTGTATGGCTCGAGTT